CTGCGCGCCGTGCGCCGGGGCGGCACGGCCGGCGGCGGGCGGGGAAATGGTGACGCAGAGAAAGGACTTTGCCAACTGTGTTTTTAATGGAGTAAAATCCATGTGGTTTATATATTTTTTCCTTTAATCTTGGGCATTTCGTTTCTCTTTCTGAGAACATAACTTGAAAACACTACAGAGCCAATACTCATATAAAAAAAAATTGTATCCCATAAATGCTGTACAGTTTTTATATACATTAACAATGTACTTTTGCTGCCTTCTAGATAATTTATTTTGCAACACATTACTGCACAGTTGTAAATAACTTATGTACTGTAACATCACTTTCAGTTATGTGTAAAGAAATAAATAAATTAATTAAAATTACCTTTGTATGTATAGTTCACGCCAGGCAGCACTTTCCCTGTCAAGGAAAAAATAAGGGCCGAGGCGTTGCGCGGTGTTGCTTGGAAGCCTGCCTGATGCGCTCGGGTACACACAGGTAGTCCGACCCGCGGTCCGTGTTGCAGAGATCTCCGGATGCTGATCTCATTTTTAACACCGCGTCGTTTTTCTCCTCTTTCCCCTGCCCTTTTGCCTTCGGTGCATTGGAAACCCCGGCGGTGCCGACCCTGCGGCTGTGCCTGCCCTGCGGCCGCGCAGCCGGTTGTGGCAGGGTGGACCGTGGAGAGAGGGGAGCCCGAGCCCCCCTGTGCCACTTGCCAACGGGGGCACAGAGTGACGTGACGAATGACGTTTGGGCTCGGGCCGGTGAGTTTTACGGACCCTGTGTAGCCGTAGCAGCTGCGAGTCGAGGAGCTGGTGTTTTGGGGCTGCAAAGCTTGGAGAAGGACGGGTGGAGCCCAGCGCTGCCCCAGGGTTGCAGGTTGTCGTGCTGGGGCGTCGGCGCTCGGTGCTTTCTGGATCCAGAGGCCGGTTGCTGGTAGGGCAGGCAGGGAGATGGCTTCCTGGCAGCTGGGACGGTGCTGCCGGGGTGAGCTGGAGCCCAGGAGCCCTGCGGCAGGGCTTGCGGCCAGCGGTGCTTCGTGCTGGGGTGCTGCCGCCCCGTGTGCTTGGGCACAGGCGCCTGCCGGGCGCCCAGGGTGCTGCACCAGCCACCGCCGCGCTCCCAGCCGCCTCCTTTTCTCCTCTTCCCTTCTTTCTAATACTGAACCTCAGAAATTGGTTGCGTGGATCACGGCTGCCCCGTTGGCCGAATTCATTCTTGCTCGTGGGACCTCGCTGGATGCGGCTGGTGAGGATGGCGCTGCACGGCACGCGGTGCTCCTGGCTGTGCCGCCTGACGCCAGCCCTACACCTGGCTGGGGGCAGCCCTGCCATGCATGCTCCGTGTGCGCTCCACACGCTCTCCGTGTTCGCTCCGTGCGCCCTGCATGTGCGCTCCCTTGTTTGCAAGCACCAGCCTGGCTCAAATTGCTTTTCTGAGCTGTAAAACCTAGATGGAGCCAGCAGGGTGCTGCTGCCAGCTCGGCGGGCTCGGCCGGAGGGGAAGGGGCAGCCCTGCCTCTTGCAGAGGACCGAGGCCTTGGCTCGCGTGGCGCCCGGTGGGAGCCCAGCCCCGCTGGGGCTGGCCCCGGTGTTTGCACCCATGCGGAGATCAGAGAAGTCTGTAATCCCATGGAAAGATCGTGCCTGGGTCAGGCAGGAGGAGTTGGACAGTGCTGTGCTCAGCCCCCAGCCCCCAGCGTGCCCCTCTCCTCCGCGGCCTGGGAGAAACGGGGGGAGGCTCGGAGAGGCTTCGTCTCCTGGCTGGGGATGCACAGCTGCGCAGGTCCGGGGCTGGGGACGCATGCTGCGCAGGTCCGGGGCTGGGGACGCACAGCTGCGCGGGTCTGGGGCTGGGGACGCACTCTGCGCGGGTTCGCAGGACTGGTCTCTGCTGGGGCTGCTCTGTGGTGGGAAGGAGCCGCTGGTTCGGCGATGCCTGACTTGCTTTTGGGTTGGGTGCCGGCTCTTCCTCCCGCCATCCTGCTGCTGCCTGCCGGCACCGCGGCCTCTTCTGCGGGGGATTGCGTTTGACGTGCAGCTCATGGCAGAGCCGTAAGCCAGCCCGAGCTTAATACAGTTGGCAAAGTCGATCCTCGAGCACAAGCTCGCAGGGACGTGGCTGGAGAGAGATTCAAGTGCCTCTTCCAAGACCTCTGTGCCTTGCTTGCACCTGCTGCCCCGGCCACCCCCGGCAGGCGGGCACCCCGGCTGCCCGCGCCCCCGCGCCGCCTCTCTGCCCACAGCTGCCGACCCCGGGCTGGCGCGGCCGGGGTGAGGGGCTGGCCCCCATGGACGCCCGCTGTCGGCGCCTGGTTCTCCCGCTTTTTCTCTTCAGTCTTGCCGGGTACACGTGCTGGTTGGATGTCTCAGCTGCTGCTTTTGGAAGTGGAGATGTTGTAAATGCGATTTGGCACCTCTTCCTCTGCTGGCGTGGTGTGGCTGGGGGGGGTGGAGGGGACCTGCTGAATTCACGACCGCTTTTCAGCCCCCTTCGCCTCTTTCTGCAGCACCGGCTCTTGCTCATGCGGCGCTCTGCAGCCGAGGAGGTCTGGGAGCACGTGGAGCACCAAGCCCTCGGCAGGGTGCAGGCAGCAGCAGGCAGCACAGGCTCACCCTGCCGGCATCTAGGCAGCCACGCGGGTCCCCAGCGGGAGAGCACCCGCCGTGCCGGGACGCGTC